TTGGTGAGAGACCAAAATTAAATTTTTTTCTCTGATTAACTTCATACAAAGAGATGCATTACTCAGGAGATACTGTGCTGCCCCAAAATATCTTATAGTCACTGGGTAAGTCTGTCTCTAGTTTGATTTCCCAGGATGGAACAAGCCAAGAATATTCCCCTGTAGGACGGCTGTTGCAAGACTTGTTTGGGAGACCCCATTGTTTGTCAGTTCCCGTTTTGATATTTTATGGCAAGTGCAAGAACTTCTACAGGTGTTGAGATCCCACTGAATGTCCTGAAACTTAGTACTTAAGGTACATTGGGAGAAGAACTGGATTCACATCTTTACTTGAGATTGGGAAGGTTTGTATTTGTGTCTCCTGTATGCAGAAGGAAAATGTTCTATTTCAGTCTTAAGTTTAAGGTGGGTTACTTTTATTTTCTATGCATCCTGTCAGCGGACAATGTGCTGTAAGAACGCCAAAATTGCGGAGAGGTGTGACACATTGTGCATTCCTGCCAGGACTGTGGCAGCTAGATGAGAGGTTCTCAATATGTGTCATGCTGTGTGGCCACTAATAAAAAAGAAAGAAAATGAGGGACGTAGGGACATACAGGACCAGTGAAAAAGAAAATTACAGTGGTACCTAACATAACAGCTTTCCCATTTACGGTCGTAGTTCTGTGTACCATTCCTCTGTTCTCTTCTTTTTCTAAGCGTATAAAAGGGCATCTTTGGGTTGAATTTTAAATTACAAGACCCCTTCTCTACTGTAAACTCTTGCTAGCATGGTCAGATGAAAATTGGCAATATGATTTGCAACTGAAAGTCATGTTAGCAGCAAAACCCTAATACTTCTGCTTCTTTTTTGAAAAATAATAAAGAAAAAAAAGTAGACCACCAGTTTTTATTATTTGTCCTTTACTTGAAATGTGGTAACAGTCCCAGGGCTATAACCAAAGGCTGTGCTGGGAAGGTACTTGATTATCTATGCTGTATTTTCATTTGAGATTTTTGTGGCTATAACAATCTGGCAGAGACTTCGATATTACACTGAGGCTGAGTTAATCTAATTGAACAAAACCAAGTTTATTTCTAAAATATTATCTATGTGACTGTCCAGTATGTAATGCAAAGCTTTGGAAATTCACCTTGGCTCTCTCCTGAGTTTCCCCATATACAAATTATCTCAGTTACTCTGTGTTAAAGTGATCAGCATAAAGGGGCGTACTGTTTCTGGTCAGTTCCAAGACAACTGCTATAATAAATAAAAATAATAATAAAGCTGGAGAATGAAGAAAAGCTCGACATTTTACAAGGGCCCATAGTGATGGGACAAGGGGAAATGGCCTTCAACTGAAAGAGGGTGGGTTTAGATTAGTTATTAGAAATAAATTCTTCACTACAAGAGTGGTGAGACAGCGTAACAGATTGCTCAGAGAAGTTGTAGATGCCCCACTCCTGGAAGTGTTCAAGACCAGGTTGGATGGGGCTCTGAGCAATTTGGGGTAGTGGAAAGTGTTCCTTTCCATGGCAGAGGGGTTGAAACTGGATGATCTTTAAGGTCTCTTCCAACACAAACCATTCTGTGATAATAAAAGAGCAAACAATGATGTCTGGGCTCCTGACTCCAAATCAGAAGTTCATACTACTTTCCTGGTTATATCAGTACTTCAGAGGTGATGGGCATACTTGGCAAGATATGCTTATTGTAAATGGAAAGCAAACACATCCATGATCATTGTACACTTTGGTATTGGTTTCCCAGACAATTTCTCTGGAAGTACTCTTGATGAGAATTGCCATGGCATGGAGCAAATTTACTTAGTTATGCCAAAAGTGTGTATTGTGTGTATAGGAGCAGGAATACAGTTGTGTGTATGCAACCTGATTTGAGATTTCATCTAGTTATGATTCAGTTGTGCCACTTAATTACTGCATTCTTGGATCTTCTATAGTAGATGAGTTTTCTTAACGTAGAGTCTCCAGGTTGCTAGACCAAGAATTCTTTTATAATTGAAAAGCTATTTGGGAATACTCCAATCTGTCTTTGAAGTGAAAACCACAGCACAGCATACTAAGAAAGCAATTTATTCGAAGTCAGAGGGGCAGGTCTCTGTTTCAGATTGTCAGTGTGGTTTCAGTAGATTTGGGTCTTTTTGATTAGGATTAGGGCAGGAGGGGAGTTGGTTGGGATTTTGTTGAATAGACTCCAGGCTGTGAGCTATTTCATCTGAAATACACTTCAAACAGCAGTCGATTTGCAGCATCTAAAGTACATGTTAGCTTCTCATACAGAATCCATACAGTCTAAACATTAAGATACATCAGAAACTTCTATGCCTTGTGATCTGCTCTATTCTGCCTCTTCTGAAAGTCAAGAAAACACTGAAAAACAGTTTACATGCCCTTTGGATATGAATCCACTACTCTCGCCTAAAAACATTATCAAAACTGTAGTTTTGGGAAAGGGACTCTAGCATATAAACATGGTTTATCTTCTTTCTAGCTCTTACACTTCTATACAAGAATCTATAAAATTAAATACTGATATGGAAGTTGAATTGAATGGCTTTCCTTTATTAAACAATGAAGTCCATATAAGTACAATTTAACCTGTACAAATTATTCCTACATTTGTTAGGAGGAAACCCAATCCTTAACTGGGGAAATTCCAAATTTGATTTATAAAATAGACTGTGTCAAATGCATTAGAGCTACAGTATGTCTGAAAAACACTTTAAATAGATACAATTATGTGTATACTTAATGAGAATAAGGACAAACAGAAATTTGGCCAAGCTTGCTTAGTGATTTGTATCGTAACAGGTAATGGTTGGATCTATTTTCCTTGAGCTGTCTAGATATTATAACCTGATCCACTGTTTATTGCAAGTGGCTAGGAATCATAGAGTCATAGAAACATTAAGGTTGGAAAAGGCCTCTAAGGTCATGCAGTCCAACTGTTAAAGTAGAACTGCAAGCAGAAACTGCAAGTTTCCTGACTAAGCCATGTCCCCAGATGCCACATTCACAAGCCTTTTGAACTCTTACAGGAATGGTGAATCGTCCACTTCCCTGGGCAGCCTGTTCCAATGTCTAACCACACTTTCAGTGAAGAAATTGATTCTGACACAATTTAGTTTTGTGGCTTTTAGCCATCTATAAAGTGTTAGGCTGTTCAGGAGCGTTTTGCAGCTGGCAAACTGAAAATATTTGAAGTAGACTGAGTGTCTTCATGTGGCTGAGATGTAGGAGACTTTCCTTTTCTTCTTCACTAACTCCATCAAAAATTGTTCCATGTATAAAATATGTAAATCAGCTGTACTGTTGAAAGACCATGGGACAAAAGAGGTAATATTTGGCACAGCTACAAAACACAGTCCTCGCTGACACCTCAGTTTAGGTGCTGTTCAGGGGCAGGAATGATCTTGCACACTGGGATATGCACCTTGGGGAGGGCTAGGTATGAAGAGAGTACAAATAGCAATTGTCTTGAGAGTGAGACAAAGGTGAAAGGCACTGACTTTCATAGCTCCTGGCCACAGAGGGAGAAAATTGGAAGACTAATTAATACCTTTCTTTGAGAGAAAGGCGAACAGTTCTGTTCCCCAAATTGTGCAGAGGAGTACTTCAGTGATGGAGACACTGGGGAAAAGAGGACATCCCAGAAAGCACAGGTTTTCTGGGGAGTCAAAGGCAGGTGGAGTAGCTGAATGACAAATATCTAATTGGGTTAGACATTCCTTGAAGCCAGGAGGAGAAATGTCTCCTCCTAGGTGGAGGATGACCAGGCCCTAGACACCAAGCAGCTCAATCACCACCAGCACTCATTGTGCCTGTCCAGTGGAAAACAAAAAGTGGTACAGAATTTAATTATCTCCAGAGGGACAGACGAACAGAGATGATGAAGATCTCCGTTGTGGATCTATGTCTTTTAAGTGATACTTAAGTAGTTGTGCCCCTGTGTGAATCTAGTTGATAGTACATTATAGAATTTGAAAATGTTCACATTACAGCCTTGATAGCTCAGCATTTTCCTCATAATTTTCCCTTCTAACTCAACTAGTTTTATATATTAGGGAAGAAGAGAAATAAAGAATGTGTGATGACCATGTTTTTCCCTTAAATTTCCTTTAAAAAACTCTTCTTGTATCCCCTTATTTATAAAAATTGAACAAATGCTTGGTGTAATTTATTTTTATAAGTTATGATAATCATTATGTGATTTTTACATTCAGTATGTCTAGTTTTCTATTTATATAGTGAAAAGAGAGATTAAGTATTGTCACTAGAACTTCCAGCTGGGCTCTGGAATTACAGCTGTCCAGCTGGCTCTGACTCATTTTGACAAATAAAAATACTAAAATCTGAAGTCTAATAAGCTATGTTCCTGCTGCATGTAAGACAGAAGGGGCTGCCCATCTTGGGTTTTTTTTGTACCTGTAACCTGCAGCCTCTCTGCAGACAAAGTTTCCTAGTTGGCAGGAATAAAGTTAATCTGAATAGATAAAGGGCTGCAGTCATGTAAATTTGGAGAGACTTTCTAGAGTAATCCTGGGTCTGCATGTTCTGCAATTCCAAGAATTCTAAATTCAACTAGAAAAATAATTAGATAATTCAATACCTGGAAAGACGCAAGATGTACAGGTTTAAAAGATATATACCTGTACATACTCAGTTGCAGGATACTTCTGATGAATAAATTGTTACAATAATGATTTATATTAAGTCATATTTGTCAGAGTAGTTTTTTCAAACAGCAACTGAACACCATAAATTTATCATCTTTTTAATGAAAAAAATTGGAATTAACTACAAGTTTTTGTTTAGTGAAAAGTTTTATGATTTCTACATAAGATATTTTCTTACGTTTTCAAACAAAAGAAGGTATTTTAGGTTTCCTATAAAATGAAATTCATATAGGAAAGTTTTGAGGTCTTAGGCAAACTAAATTATTTTTTTGTTCCAGTGTTTAACCACCATCATGGCTTAAAAAGTGTTTTCCTGTTTTTCAGTTTGTTCCCACTGGGCATCACTGAGAAGAGTCGGGGTCCATCATCTTTACACCCTCCCCTCAGGTATACATTAAGAAGATCTTTCCTGAGCCTAATCTTCTCTAGAATAATCAGTACCAGTTCTCTCAGCCTCTCCTTGTCTGAAAGATTTGCAGTACCTTTTTCATCCTGCTGGACTCTTTCCGAGAAGTCAGTGTCTTTTTTGTTGTGGGGCACCCACTACTGGAGACATCACTCCAGCAGGGGACTCACCAGTGCTAAGCAGAGACGGAGGATCCCACCTCCCTGAATATAGACTGAATATTTTAACGATATAAATGGCTGGTCAAAGCTAAATTGTGCAAGGGCTAATGACAGAAACCCACACAGTTGTGATGAATGTCTTATAGAGGATGCCCTTCCTCTCAAACAATAGATCTATCCAATTGACTGATGAAAAAGACAGTTTCAACCTCTCTGCTTGAACTGCTGGTATATGCAGATTACTCTGAGATTTGGCTCCAGCCCCCACCTTGTCAAGGGCAATTAAACGTAATCAGACTTAAGGTAATGATTCTGTTAGTACTGTTAAAATACCTTTTACAAAGTCAGTGCTTCTTGGACATCAAAAACCATAAACACAACAACAACAAAGGGCACAAAAACCCCGCCATCAAACAAACAAACAAAAAAATATCACCAACCTCCCAGTCAAAAAATCTGAATGCACAGCCAAATTGGGACTTTGATTGATATCAGTGCATGCAGAGGCAACAACCCAATATCAAATGTTCACTTAAACAGACTGAGCCACCAATTACCACACAGAGCTCAAATACCAAGCTTAACATCAGATTTGGGCCCATACACTTTTAAAGGAGTTTAAGCCAGGTATTTTCCTTATTCTTTCGAATTTCAGAACAGAGATTAAATCAGTTTGCTTTTTTTTGCTCTAGAATTAAACTTGTCCTCTAGAATTAAATTTGTCCTCCTGCCTGCCCATCTATAGTTCCTCTCTTTTCCCTAGAAGCCAAAATTTGCCTTGAGCCAAACTAACTCTCAGCTACTTTTTTAGATGCAAATGGCCTAGAATACAAATGGATCCATTGCTAAACATTTCTTCAAGATTGTTCTGAAGATGTCCGTAAGTATAGAATCAAAATCCAGTCTGAATGTTATTTTCTTCCAGTTGACAAGGTCCTGTCAGTCATCAACTACCAAGAATATTTTTGAAACAGTGGATCTTGGGCCCGATTCAGATCAATTCTTGTCAGCTTTCTAATTTTTAGATTTTGACAAAGTTACAAGATACAACTAGAGCAAATGCTCTGAAGGCAGGGTGTATACAATAGTGGCTTTCCAGAACATATCAGAAGACACTGCATATGCTCACACCATTTGGTTTTGCTATAATACTCCCCAAATTCTTGTATTTTCACCCTAAGTAGGAGCTCATATTACTGTACAGTTTGGGAGACATTTATAATCCAGCCAGGAAATTAGACACAGCTGGATCACTCCTAATTGCCCTGCCCTAAATGTTGTAAGTGTGGGCAATTCAGAAGCTCATATGCAGGTCCGGGAGGGTTTGGCCAATCTGGGAGGATTTTTTTCAGAATTTCTAACCAGATTAGAATATGTTCCCCAGTGAATGTATGGGCAATGAAGTTCTCTAGTAGAAAAACTTAGTGATGATAACAATAAAAATGAGACAATAGACTGAAATTACCTTCGGTGAAATTGGGCTGAAATGACAATGTAGGATGTTGAATAAATAAATGGCAGATCAGAAGCACAGTCTTGCTTCATGAGGGCAGTTCTGAAACACTGTCACATACACATTCATCCCTCCAGTCAAAGTGTTTCTGACTTCAAGGAAAAGGACCACAGTCATCTCCTCTTCCCATACAGTGACTCTTGCTTAGCTTTTTGTTTCTGGATTTGTTTGAGGTTTTTTGTTTGCTTTTTTATTCTTTTTTTTTTTTTCACAGTGACTAAGCATCTAATTTGAATCAACTATGGGAGAAGAGAGGATTGAAGGTAAAGTAGTGCTTTTTGTTATTCAGGTTGTTGTTAATTGCTGTTTTCAGTTCACAACATTTAAATGAAATATTCACGCAATTGGACCAGTTGTAATTCAATCAGAAACCCATCCAACTACCCTGAGGAATCCCATCAGGGCTCCTTACACAGCAAGAAAGAATTTTAATTAGAAATTTGAAATAAGCTTTTCTCCAGTTTTGCCAGGAACAAAATGGGCTGGTGCTTAGTGTCTCCATTTGGGGAATTAAAGCCTTTGCAAAAAAATCAGTATTTAAAGAAACATCTAGAATTTAGGAGCATGATAAATGGGTCTATATTTGCACTTTCTGGTAAATCCCAGTGAAGAATATGAATGCCTTGCAAACACATCCCTAGGTGTAAAGTACACTACCACATCACTGTATCGGCATTTTAAAAAGTTCTATCTTCTACTAAAAAATAATGAATTATTTAGTTGTACACAAAGCTATCTTTGAAGATGCAGCTGCTAAAAAACAGGAGGTACAGAACAATTTGGATGGTAAATTACTATTTAGGCCTTTTAAAGAGGACACATGGTATTAGCCCTGAGAGGTGTTTTGAATTGTTAGAATACTTGTAGTAAAATGCTTGCTGCAGCCACAGGACGAGAGATGAAGCAACAGGATTAGTTCCCATCATTCAGAAGTCGTGATTCTTAAAGCAGTCACTAATTTTGAGCTGTATGGCCTAACTCTAATAAACTGGGGGAGGATAGCAGGGAAAGTTGCTTAACTCTGCTTTAAGTTGTTGTAGAGTAAGTCAGTCCAGCTTTCTACTCTATAATACCTTTGGCAGCTGGAAGCTTCCTGAACAAAACCAGTTCTGGTACCTGTGTAGTATTTTAGTAGTAGTAGTTTTTTATAGGGTTTTTATAGTATTTGTAGTAATTTTTTAAGGGTTTTTTGTGTGGTTTGGGTTGTGGATTTTTTTGGGGGGGAAGGTTGTTTGTGTTTTTTTCTGCACATTTGATGGAGTTTAGACTGGACTGAGTTTTGTTTGTTTGTTGGAGTTGGGAATTTTTGGCTTGGTGATTTTTTATGTTCTTTCTTAAATTTTTTTAACAGAGTTTAGAGGGAAATTATATAGCCACCTGCCCTTAAACTGCTTTTCCTTTTGCTTCCTCACCTTTATGTTCATGGTTTGTTTTCCTTCTGCTAACATCTTTCTTAAAAACTCCTTTAAAAAAAAAAAAAGTACAGATCTGAACACAGAAATCTTTCCCTCAGTCTAAAATGTCGTAGCCTAGAGCTGACTTTTGCAGACCAAGTACCAGCTCATTTTGACATGTTTTTTCTAGTTTTGCTACCCTGGAACCATAGTACTTTTTGTCTATATCATTTGCATTTAATCAGAGTGACAAGCACAGTAGGGCTATTTTGGAGACTTCCTGAGGCTGTTTGCTCAAGGCCATTCAGTTTGTCACAGAGATCCAGGACTTGCACCTCACTGTTCTGCACCTGCACCAAAGCCATCAATTGCTTCAGACCCTTCAGAAGGGCAGGAGGGAAAGAAAAATACGGAATTGTAGGCAGTAACTTACCTAAATTGGCAGCAGCTCACTGACTAGACTTACACTACCAGCTGATAGTCTATGATATTTGGATACTGTCCTAATAAAAAACGTCCTGGTGTCCTGGCCTTACCCCTAAGACAAGTGTCTTTGTGCTCCAAAACTGTTAAGAGTACAAAACCAAGCTTCCACTTTAAATGTTTTTCTCCTGCTGCTTGGAATCCCTAGAGCTCAACTAGGAATAAAAGGAGCCTGATTATATGTGCATGAGGGTGAATCTGAACATACAGCCAAAACAGAAAAGGTAGTACTGTTATTTGGTTCAGGATAAGTAAGGGCTTGACCATAAGTATTTCTGGTGCATTTTTGGCATGTCTTTTTTCTCCCCTTCTCCATGTATTCTAAGACTTGGAACACGTGTCTCAGACACACGCTCACTTAATGAAAGCCAGGAACAAGGTTTTGTGTTATACAAAGTATGAGTTACACTATTTAAGGCATTTGTCGTGTTTTCATGTTTAGAAAGGGGACTTTCTATTACAGAAAGATAATTAATTGGGCTATATGTTACTTTTATTTTTCTGACTAAAAGTATTCTCATTTCACAAGGATTGTGTAGTTCAGTTTTGCATAGAAACAATATTAGCTAGAAAACAGTTAATCTCTTGAAACAGGAAATTAATGTATATGTATGGCAACTACATTTATAAGAGAATAAATTTTCCTTCAGGGCCATCTCACTGATTTTACAACCAGTTTCACATTTAATTCCAGTTCTTTGGAGCGTGATATCTCAAATATTTCATGGACATTACTGCAAAATGTTTAGTAAGTTGTGATTGAAAATTAGCATGTTTAGTTCACCTCATTTCAAAATGACTTATGATCATGTTTAAGCTGTAGTTAAAGTATAACATTCTTTATAGCATTCTGAACTAGAGCAGGATCCCAGTTCAGTATGCAGAGCAGAAGATCAGGTTGTAATCACTATTATACTCCAAAGGTTGGTTTTAATTTACAAGAGCAAAGTGATTTTAATGGAAAGGGGAAAGTTTATTTAAACAAAAGCTCTTTACTCTAAAAGGAGTTCAGACGTTGTAATCCCATGGGAGTTCTCCTTAAAAATTCTTAAGGAAATAATGAAGAGCAGAACAAAAGGCTGAGGGTTTAAGGAAATCTACTGAAATTCAGCAGACAGTAGAGGAAGAGAAGTTACAGACATGGAAAGGGAAGTTTTCTACGTGTTCTCTACCTGTACCTCTTTTGCTGTTTTGTCTACCAAACATCTTTGTGTTTCCTGCAGGGGCTCTCTAGATTGTGTAGAACAGGAATTTAATTATCAGAGTCTGCCATTATAACAGTCAGTCCCTGACAAATATGTTGGTGACTTAAGGAAAAAATAATCCTCACAAAGGATCTCTGACTGAGGGAATTAAATAGTCAGCTAAAAAAAATGACAACTCACATCGCTCTGAAACTGGAGTTTCAGAGTTTTTTCCATTACCATTTTAGCTACAGTAGGAAATGGTAATGCATATGATGCCATAGTTAAAAGCTTCCATCAGTATTGGATTAATTTGCTTTCCATTCTCAGACATCAATGACTTTTCTTTCCTACAGAAGGGATAGATTCAATGCTTAGCCTTGAAGCTACATGACGTAACTACAGAAAAGGTAAACATTATTGCTACTCTCGGATCACTGCTTATCTTCAGATAATATGATGGGACAAGTACTGTCTTTATATGCAGAGAAAATGCCATTTAAAGTCTCTATCAACATACAAATTCTGGACTGGACCTTAGCTGCTGTAGCACAAACAGCTTTTAGGCTGAATATGAAATCTTTTCTCTTGTCTGCTTAAGCAGGGGGTAGGTTGTCAGTTCATACTATCCTCAAAATATGTAAAGTAATAATAGTGATATGCCTAGAGATTATTATACAGAGGTTTTTTTGACAGCTAGGAGCAGCTGCACTATAAACAAAGAAGGCACAGAAGCAAGGCTGTCTAGCCAGACCAATGCACATTGTGTGTTCCCTGGAGAAACTCATCTCTTCTGCTACTTCCCATTGCTCAGCTTACCCAGCATGTCTCGAGCCATGTCTAATTATCATTTCTACTTTCATTCACTCCAAAGAGGTATTATTATATCAGACAAAACATGCACCCTATTTCTGTGTTAGTCATGTATTACTTCTCCTCTTCCCTTCCACCTGAGCTTTTATGAAATCGGTTTCTTCAGCTCTACCTCACTTGACTCAGAGCTTTGCATGTGAATGCATATTTCCAGCTCACTGAAGTGGCCTTCAGTGCTTCATGGCGCCTTTTATGAATTGTAGAGTACATTTGCTATTTAGGTTTCCGTTATTTCTTACCATTTTTCCTTATCTATGCTTCTCCCTGCCCCCTCCATCACTGGTTTAGAGATACTGTAGGCATGAAAACTTGATCTTAACCATTTCTCTTGGAACTATGCCATTAATGTGTGGCCTGCATAGGTATAGACAAACAATAGCACTTATGAAACAATAACCAAGATGAGTAGATCTCCAAGTCAATCTAAGAATGC